CTTTTTCAGAGACAGAAAGTCAAGATGAGAACTTCCCTCTTTTGTACCTGAGACAGTTATGTCAGTTTTGTATTCACGTAGCTGGAGAAAGTTCAGACACATCCGGTCTTTTATTTGCACAGAGAGTCCATGGGACTGTTGGTGACAAAGCGAGGTAAATTTGGGTGTCATCTGCATAATTATGATAGCTGATGTTATTATAGATAGGGTGTATGTGATGGTCATCATGTAAGTGCCAGCTGAATATTAACCAAATCACTTCACTCAATAGATCAAGTCAACTTCAAAAACCATAAGACAAACACTGTTGTTGATACAATCTAAGATTGTTAGTGGTGACAAGACCCACTCTCCACTTCTAAAACACCACGCTCATCACTCCTGACATTCAAATTTTGTCAAAAAAAACATTATTGGTATTCAGTGTTTGATTGAATCTGGTATCCAATCAGCAATTTCCCTGCTGAGGTGACCAGTGTGACACTCCTTTGTGCCACAGCAGTCTCCACTCTCATAACAAAAGCATTTTTCTGCAGAGATCCACTTCATTACCCAGACTAATATGGAGCAAAATGTTTATTCAAATGAGCCAAGATCAAATCCTATAAAATGAATGAGAAAAATGCTGAAATGGATTATATGCTTACAGAAAAAAAATCATATCTGAATTAATTACAAAGTGAAAAGGCGTTGGGGTTGAAAAAAAATGCTTATTCTCTTTCCATTTCCTTAGTTATTTTCTCATTAGCTTGCATTTATTTATTTTCATCATCCGTCACTGTCCAATGTCATCAATGTGTGTCTATGAAAACAGAGAGTAATTTCATTTTATCAGGATCAACATGACAACGACAAGCATTGTGAGCAATTGATTGGCCGTTATTTGGGGGACATGGCACATTGTGAGCTTTTGATTGGCCACTACAGGAGGAAAGACTTTCTATTAGTGATTGATTGGGCAGTGTAATTTTCCACCTGAATGGCTCCCAGGTGCTCACACACAGGCAGGAGGCACCTTTGTATAGTAAGTGTGTGATTGTGAGTTTCCATTTGCTCTTAAATGTTATTCTCGGAGCTCTGATGGGGTCTTGCAGGGCGGGGGATTGGGGCTGAGCACAGTAGCTGCCCATCGCAGGATAAGTCACATGTGACAGTCTGTCAGGTCACCTCTCATCAGGAGGCATACAGCAGAGAACAACACACATACACATTACACTTCACACACAGACGCAAAAGACACATGATCTTTTTTTTTTTTTTCTGTACGCTACATACAATCTTTTTTTTTTTTTTACGTTAATTTTTATGTCCAAACATGCTGATCACCTTCAGCTCGTTGGCATCTAGCCATTCGACACACTACTGCAAGATGTGGTCCGGTAGTGATCCTGCCAGTTGATAAGCAGCCTCGAAGTGGTGAGATATCTGAGCTTCACCTCCTAAGAAATAGGACACCCTGACCTCTCCCACAATCTGCCTTTTTGCCTTTTCATTTCATGTGTCCGATTCACTGCTCTGATTTAATTTACTTACATATGAGATACATGGACCATGTTCCATCAGTTCAGTTTTTACAGCCTGTTCACTCTCAGTCAGTTGCTTTTAGTTTGAAATAGTGCCATGTTATTCCAGTTCATACAAAAAGTGCTGTTCACCATTTGCCAAGTGCATATGAACGATGATGTAGATCTGGTCTTGTACTTGTTATGATGAATGAGCTGCTTTACAAAAAGGCATAGTTATACATTCTGGGACAAAGAGTGGAAATGGGGAAACAGCTAGCCTGGTTCTGTCCCCAATAAAATCCCCCTACAAGCACCTTTAAAGTGTACTAATCAATGCCTAAACCTTGTTCGTTTAAACTGGAAAAAACCTCAGTGACTTCTGGAAATCACTATTGCATGTCAAGAAGTAGTCCGGCATCGTTTTGTTTCTTTTTAAAGCATAACCATAATCATCCTATAACCTTAACAAGATGTTTTTTTTTTTTATCATAATCATGCTGACAAAGCTGTCCTAACCTTAATGGAGCTATTTGTAAGTTTTGCTTTTGCTACATAGCCAGCGTTAGCAGCCGTTTACTTATCAGTATTGCCAAGGACTTCAGCCATCGTTTACAGTACAGCAGGTTACAATACGCAAATTCTTCAGGGTAGACAGTGATTCGGTATTGGCCTGACTGGCGTTAGCTGCTTAGCATGTTAACTTCAGTAGAAGAGACAGCTCTTGACAATTAAAAAAATGAACTTCCGTGCTGAACTTGCAACATTTCTTCTAGACCGGCGAGTAAAGAGCTGTTAATGCTAACGCTGGCTATGAAGCAACAGCAAAATAGCACCTTTGTACTCATTTTGACCCAAACCATGACCTTTCCCTAAACCAAGTTGTTTTTGTGCATAATTCTTAACAGATCTAAACCACAGCATTGTCACATCATGATAAAACTGACTCTATCTCTTTTTAAAGGAACTGCATTTAATAGCCCAATTAATGCATACCAACACGGCTTTGGTGCCAAATACACACATAAATCATGTAAACAAGTGTGCATCAGATCTTTAAGAAACCTGATCTGAGAGTCGACTCCTCTGAAGGACACAGACGCAGAGCGTGACAAAACAGTTATTAAACCAAGAGCGAGCGAGACGATCTCTAGACAGAGCAGCAGGGAAAGAGGAGACGTGACCATGCAGGGGTGACAGAGCGAGACACCAAAATGAAGAAATGCAGAGATGAAAGGATAGAAAAATAGAGGGCCTGCCAGACCTGACAGGGTAGAGGAAAAAGAGAGGACCACTCAAAATGCGATAAACAGATCAAAATGGCTTCTGTTCATGTACAGTCAGTTATGACACTGAAAGGCAATTCTCAAGTTTGTAATGTCATTTAAAAAGTCTCCTCTTAATGGATGAAATTGACTGTTATACCAAATAATGCTGCATTTGAGGTTGCACTATGCCAAGTGTGAGTTTTTCTTTTGAATATTCATGGCACACAGGTGGAAATTTCAACTATAATGTTGCATTTTGAATACAATGATTTTTATATTGTTTCTAAAATAACTAATGATCCTCAGCCTATTAAAAGCAGCACATCATTAATATAATTCATTTTCTTTATTTGGACAGAGAGAGTGGATTTTAGGCTGCCAGGGTGAAGAAAATAATAATAATGAACAGAGAACCAGCATCAACTGTCAATCATTTTAAGAGTGCTGTTATGTTTTTCCTGCCATTATCAAGTAACTACAGGTAAATACAGTGTTTCAGGATTAAATTTCATCCTTGGTCTTTGAAAAACCAATTGAGCAGTTTGTCTTGTCCAGAAAAACCAGCACAATCAACTCTAAAGACCAAAATTATTTATTTTTAAAAAGCACAGGCTGCAGATATTTCTCCACAGCTTAAAAAAAAAAAGCCTCTATCTCTCCTCCTCATTTCCTCACAATCCAGCCAGTGATGATAAAGCCGGAAGTAGGAAACAGTGAGGTCCTGTGGGATTCTGTTCCTCCAGCCCGCTGAGCCTCGGGGGACAGAGGAGGGAAATTACAATCAACAACACCAGTTTGAAGCAGCGGTGGCTATCAGATAAGACAACATTGTACATGCCACTCATAAATCAATCAAATGTCACCCTATGCTCTCTTTGGTTCTGTGTCACAGTGGGTTTAATTCATTGTGGGAACTTGAGTGGAGGTATAAAGTTATCACAGTCTGACATACTGAGTCAAATATGTTTTTTTCCTCTACAGTTATTTGACTCTCTCTGTGATAACACCCAGGGCTCTGACCTTGATGTCTTTTGCCTTTCTTCTTGTTAGTTGTCCCACAACACCTCCTGCTGGTCATAAACCTACAAACTAAATTTTAAAATTCAAGCCTCAGCATGGCCTGTGTTCCCTCTGGACAGTGGTGGAAGAAGTATTCAAATCCTTTACTTTAGTAAAAGTAGCAATTCACACCATACAAATACATACAGTGCAGAATGGCCTCTTAATAGAGCTTGTTTCCAAAAAAATATCATATTATTGGGTTATTATTACTGATGTAAGCAGCTTTATAATGTATTTAATCAATGTGGAGACACATGTAACTGCTTTATATACCTTTGGCTGGTTTAAACTCTCACAATAAATCATATTTTACTGGCTGATAATATGGTAATTTTCAAAGTTAAGTATGAATGTCAACTAAATGTAGTAAAAAGTACAAAATATGTCCTATATTATAAATATTAAGTAGTGCCATGAATTGTTAATACTCAAGTTAAGTACCATTTTACTTAACTATGTGCACTTAGTTATTTTCCACCACTGTCTGTCTCAGACTTTAACTAAATTGCACTAATTTCACCATTATATTTCAGACTAGCTATCTTCACAATGAAATGTATAATAATCAAATGAGAAAGCTATAAAAAATTCAAAAACATTTGGCGGAAATTTCAAAATAATTCTCACATACACCTATAAAAATGGAACGAAATGAAAAGATTCATCAAGCCCAGGAAACATTGCTGCTTTAAATGTCGAAAGTCAAAAGGTTTCCTTGTGAGGTAAGTCAAAGTTAAAAGTAAGTCTATTTCCCCTCTAATGGACTCACACACAATCTCAAAGCCAACTGCGTTGAGAGAATCAGGGTTATTGCCATGTGTAGGTTTGTAATGGACATGGAATATTCCTCAATTCTTACAGCTTATTTCCGCTCCTCAGGTTTCCGTTTAGCCCTGCATCAAAACATCCACAGGGGCGACAGACAACAAAAGTTGGTGTTGCAGTTCATCAATCCACTAATGACATTTATCTTTAATCGCTGATTATAATTTGTGTCTGAAATTTTGTTTGTTTCAGTTAGGAAAAACTTGAAGTTATATCTATTAGATTTAAGGTGAGCTCAGATAAACTTTCTGTCTTCAGCAGATAAACAATCTTCTTGTGTCAAACTCTGCAAATACATCATTCAGCACAGAGAAGCTCAAACTTTGACATATTTTAAGTCAGTTTAAGTTTATTATGAGACATGTTCACTTCTACATAAAAATCATTCTGCATACATTAGAAATTTGGGATTTATTTTTAAAACCTGGAAAATTATATCTCCTATATAAACAGGAAAATTACAAAAGCAATTAATTAAGAAAACACATTAGTCATAGATTGGGAAATTCATATTCACAGGAAACCACATGCACTCATGCAGAGCTGTACCTCTGGTCCAAACAACCCTCAGTCTATCATTGTTGTGGTTCATTTTTGGACTTTTATTTTTTACAGACTTTCCTACCATTTATTCAACCAAAACTGTTACTGGATCACCTCCTTAAAAGAAAGTCTATTATCCCCGAACTGGCTTGGAGCAGTTCTCACCACCCCACCCTGGGAAACATTTGCACTGAAACTCAGTCTTCATGAATGTTGTCTCGTGTCCCCTCATCTGTCTCACAACTCTGAAGTTCTTCCCCCCATCTGGAGACACCACCTTCCACACAGCAGGGTCGAGATGGAGGTAGGCCGTTGAGTTTGAGTCCCTCCTCTGACATCTTCCCTGAGAGGAACACATAGTCTGGCTGCACATAGTGGCCGCTGATGTTACATTCACCAGGTAAGGACCCAGGACGTCATCGATGTAGGATTTGACAGCGTTGCATGTTGCCTGAGAGCAGAAAAGAGAAAGGAGACTGATGCTTCAAAGAACTCCTAATAAAAGCTTTAACACAGCTTTACATAACGGACACCTTTGTCTGAATGTCAAAAAAGACTTAATGGGCTAATATGCTCAAGTGTAATATGGTGATGCCCTACCAAAAAACAGACGTATATCCCAGCAGGTGAGATGTCATGTGACTTAGATCCCAGCACACTGAGCCTAATTAAACATGCTTTTAGTGGTCTGAACAAATTAGCCATCTGTAGAAAAGCCCCCTCTCAGCAGTTGATCTGTACATCAGCACTTTATCAAAATCATACTGTGAGAGACTCACAGTATGATTTTGACATTGCACTCTTGAGGGAGTAATTGTTTGAGGATAATTCTGGTGATATTTTATATTATTATCATTATTATTATTATTATTCTTATTATCATTATTATATGAAAAGACCAAAACCAACACTTGATTCTACTAACAAGTATTGTCTGGTTAGCCAAACACAGCTTATTCCTCTGTGCCAGGTCTCCAGTGTTGTCCAAAGACTGTTTAAAACACATCAGTCAGCCACAGTGTGGCACCGGCTGACATGGATCTTCAATACCATGAACATGTACTGTACTTTATTTTGACTCAATCAAACATACACCATCCTGCTGTCGTAAATACTCATCACAGGACCAATGGTGTTTTAACCTGCAGCTCAAACAAATGCCATTATTTACTCCTGTTTGAGTAATTGCTAAAAACCACAGTCTCCAGCTGTTTATAGATAATTACTGAGCCTTTTTTAAAGGAAACCGTATATTTGTGATCTGTTATTAGAGGTGTGTGTATTTAGTAGTATAATATATTGTTTCAGTTCAAGTCCAGCAAAACGATTCTTATTCTTTTCCAGTATGGCATGTTTTATTCACTTAAATGTTTTCAGCTATCTTGCTTTCATAACGGTGGTGTCTTGAGTTTATTTTTTCTTCTAGTCAGTTATGAGTCAGTGGTGGTGACTTATAAAATCACCATGGATAATAAGTAAGTAAAATAACATCATCGTCGTCGTTTTAGAACAATTTTAGAACAAAGAGAAATATAAGTGACCATAAACACTAAACATTCAACATTACAACTCTTGCAATATTTCATCTTAAACTTTCAAGGCACACATCTCGATTTATACTATGAAACAGCAAATTCTGCATTCTCACCCACCGAATTTTTCAAACAAATTTTCTAAAACCACAGTAAATTCAATATTCAGTCTTTTAGAAAAAAACTCTATACTCTATAAGTATAACTAACTCTAACTAATTAATTTCTAAATCAATCTGTAGTTGACCTCAACACACCCTTCCTTTAAAGTGACACATACTCAGTTAGTTATTGTACCTGAGATTCGGCGAATGCGTGGTTGCCCCAGAGAACCACCCCAGCAGATCCTAAAGCAGCACTTTCCCCGATGGTGTAGACCAAGTGCTCCTGCAGGAGGTAAAAAAAGAGGGGGGTAACAAAAGATACAAAAAATGACAGGTATCCTAAAACAGCATCAAGTTCAAACAACTGCTACTTGCCTGAGAGAGGAAATCTAATGTGTAGGTGTAGACGATGCGAGCGTAGGGGAACACAGGTGGTGTTGATGGAGTCACCTGAGCTCCCACTCTCATGGCCTCCAAGATGCGGTAGTGAGCATAGAGGAGCACTTCTCTGCCGAGACCTCGCTGCTCGAGGCTGAGGTAGATGTCAGGATACAGAGCAGAGGAGCTGTTCCACATCCAGAACAGCTCGTTGTTCCTCTTTATCTCCACAGGTGGACACTCCCCTGTGTAGTGTGTGCTTTTGTCATAATAGTTGTAGCAGCTGGGAAAACCATAGTAACCCCACAACCCATTGGGTCTTTTCTTCTGTCCCAGTTTCAGTGTTTCCTCCATGAAGTTCCTCCCTGCTTCCTCAAACTTCACCCTGGCTTCAGCGTTTATCTGTGCAGGGCTCCAGTCCGGATGCCTGGACCTCACTAGTGCTCTTGATGCCTCCCAGTAAATCTCCTTACTATCCCAGTTTCTCTCCCATACAGGTCTCCAGCTCTCCCAGTCTACCACAGCAAGGCCCTGGAAATCCCTGTCAGGGATATAGTTGCGGATATCTTCAGAGGCTACTCTGAGGTGCTCATCAAGACTGGCGTTCTGCGGGACTCCACCATTAACAGCCACTCGTTGGCTGGAGTATCTGGGATACAAACCGAGCTTGTTATCATAAAAGATGGTTATGTTTTCCCCCATGAAGGTTTGGTCTTGGTTCTGGATGATGTTGAAGGTCCCCAAGTTGAGGTCCACACCATACTGAGAGAGGCAGCTGGCAGTGGGGGCATTCCACACAGTGAGGAAAGGCACCTGGGAGAAAGATGATGTTTCCACCTGCAGCCCTGAAACAAGGCTGATCAGATTTAAGAGCAACAGGGTCTCGGGACAAAAGGAACTCATGTCTGCAAAGAAGAGAAAGACAGTACTGCAAATATTTTAGGACATGGATATTGAAATAACATTTTTTTAAAAGTTGTGAAGCAACTGGAGTCTTGATGATCAAAATACAAAGTGAATACGGTCTCTTTTCATTTTGAGAATCTAGATTTAATTCCATGAATTTCAGCTTTTGACTAAACATGTTCTTTTGTTTGTCTGTTAATCTTGTATGGTTTTCCACAGGTTGCAGTGTAGCTATATTGGAATAAAGTAATAAACTTAAAGTAATACAATAAAAGCTAGATGTATTACAGACAGAACTACAAACACTAACTTACCTAATGAAACACTGGTCAAGGATTTTGGTTTGTTCTTTGACTTTATAGGCCTGGATGTGTAATCAGCAGTCTCATGATCTGAGTGACACATGCAGGAAAAGGGGAAGTAACAAAACCAGAACTGCTCACAGGTTTTCCAGCAACCAATCAGAAGAGACATGCAAATCATTTCATGGGACAGACAGATTTAAAGTCACAGGCACTTTTAAACCTCATCCCATCATTATCCTTAACAGTTTTCATTTTGTTTCAATAAAACATGTAAATATAATTAAAGATAAACAGTTTTGTTAAAGAGGCGTGGAAAGACTACAAGAGTCTACCCTTAATGGCTGTCAAAAAAAGCCATAATGAACTCTTCCACCTCCAAATTTAAATGTATGCTTGCTCAACTCTTAAAAGTAGTAGAAAATAACTCTTGGCTTAACAGCACCCTACAATTACATGGGGAGGGGGGTATGAGGCTCCAGCCTGCAAAATGTCTCTCCCTGACGACTGGCTGGCTTGGCCTCCCCTCTGTGACCAATTGTGACATGTATTTTCCCTGTAGCTTAATTTCTATTGACTGCAACCAACAAAACTATACCTCTATTATCTGAAAACCACATTTAAAACTTTACTGTTACCTCTCACGCTGAAAATATGACACACAAACCACCATCCTTCAGGTTATTGTGTTCTGTAACTGGAAATTATAACTGCAGAGAACACAAGAGGTTCAACAAAGAGGTTTATTTACTTGGACAAAAACTCAAAATTTGAGAAAACAGCATGGAGACAGGGGCAATAATGTCAGTAAAACTGTGGAACATACAAAGTGTCAGAAAATTTGCTCTTTATATTGTGTGTACAATGGTTGTGCTTCTGAAGTCAAATAGCTGCAGACTGTAATTTTTGGCATAAATGGAGTAATGAATGCATTTTAAGAGAAAACTAGTAGTCATGTTTTGGACATAAAAACAATAAAATATCATATAAAACACCTAAAAATACATTCAAATAAATAGTAACACTTTTACTGCCTCCATAAAAAGATGATGAGAGGTCATGTTAAAAAAAAGATCAGGCACTTCAAATATATTGTGCTATTACCAGATTTAAGTGCATCAATTCCACTTTCACCACACAGCGACTGATATACGTCAACTCATTCATCACACTTCCTCCAAAAAAATGTGCTCTCTATGAGAAACATGGAATTTGACACCTTGGGAAACAGTGACTAAGAGGAAACCGAGAGCAAAATGTAAACAAGGTCATTTCCAGGGAGCCCTCCGTTGTTTAAAAAAAAAAAAAAAAGGATTAATAGTAATAAACAAATATAACTTTGCAAATTCCACAGTGTTTCTTATAAAATTTCACTTTGTGCCATCATTATTTTACAGCAACTCACTCCCAAAAACTCTCAACCTGTCATCTTGTATGCTCCTATACTTTGACATACAAAATGCAGCTGTGCCTACTGTATTCATGGTGTATTAGCAGAGGATCAGAGAGATAATCAGTAAGATCACACATTGCATTGCTGATGCCATGGATTGAGTGGCCATCCCTCTCTGGTGTAGAGGGTCCGTCTGATCGCAGCCCTCTCCCTGATAGCCGCTGTAGCACTGGCACTGAAAATCAGTTTGAAAACTCGCCGCTTGGCCAACCTCACCGGTGACTGTCAGCTTGCCTTCCACCCTGGTGATATTCTGGGTGAAGGAGTTCAGATGCAAGTAAACATCACTGTCTGGATTTTTGCGCAAACAGCGGCCGTGAGAACCACACAACGTCTTGCTGCATTGCTCTGCTGCCGTGGAGACGTTGAAGAGGTATTGACTCAGCGGACCCCGTAGATACGCAGCGAGGTCGGAACAGCTGTTCTGGAGAGGAGAAGAAAAAAAGATAATCACTCATTCAACTAGGTCAACATTCACAGTCAAACTGTCCTTATCTTTTATTGAGACTTTCATGGATGTTAAGTTCAGGTAACTTTTGAAGTAGATTAAAGGAAACCACATGAACCTTCTGTGTAATATCAACCCCTCATCTAAAGTATAATGTGGTTATGATGAACTTTACCAGTCTTGTTGATTAATCTTTCTCCATTCATTCTTATTATGTCTGATTGAGCAACACACATGCAGCTCTTAAATGGGTCATATATTTTTGTTGACTCAGGACAAACTGAAAAAATAGAGGCTTGATGTGGTGTGCAAGTCTTGACTGCTACTAAGTTTACATTCATAAATCAAAATAACTCATTTCAGTTGTGAGGCACCTGCTCACATTCAGTGTAGAGTGTGCTGGTTAATCCAAAATAAAGACAAACAGGAATCACATTCATCAGAGAGGATGTTTAAAATGTACCATTACTCCTTCACTATAACACAAAGATCATATGGATGGAATATTTCCATATTCATATCATTGTTTTGTTTGAAATGACACTGATCAACCTCTGGAATAAAGAGATGTTGCTCCAATAAATGTCTGTCTGTACATCTTGTTCTTTTTTTGTTCTTCCTGTGATTATTAGTTCACTGAAGATTTCAAACAAAAGCAAATCAACCAAAATCATTTTCTCTCATTTCTGTCAGTTGAAGTGAATGCAAGATATAGACTGAAAACACCATACTGCAAAAACTGGTTTTTCACAACTGGGAACAACACAACTGATTTCAAGATTTTTTTTTCTTTTTTTTTTTTACTGAAAATGAGATCTAAGCACCTATCAGCCTAAATGTGACACTCATGTGACTCAAGTCGCTATCTTTGAACTGGAGCCCTGAGGAATAACTGTTAGTTCTCAAATGACTGCACACATGACAGGCAAGAGCAGCAGGTCAAAGCTTACCAGATGATGACGTTTGTGGCCAAATTTGTGAGTTGTGTCTTGAGTGATTAATGTGTTTGTTTCATAATTAGTGTGTGGATGCTTACTTTGCTGCTTGCATAGCCTGCCTCTCCCCACAGGATGATTCCAGCTGCTCCCAAAGCCACACTCTCCCCGATGGTGGAGACAAGGTCAGTCTGTAAAAGATGATCCAGCATTTAAACCCTATCGTATTTAACCTTTTACATTACTAAAATTACAGGTCAAACTGAGGGAAAATACACTGTTAAGTATCACTTTACCAAGGTCAAAATGTTAATGGGTCATAAGCTACTGTATGTCAAATACATCACCAGCTCTTATCTGTTCATTCTCCCATAAGGAAACAGTCTATAGGGTGTTAGCGAGAATTTCAACTTGACCAACACCCATCCTGCCTTCTCCACACAAATGAGAGGTATTGAGGTGTCCGTCTGCTACCAGAACAGGAAAGGACTGTGGCCGCCGATAAGGAAAAGCAGAGAGCTATAGCTCCATGCAGCATGCACTGATCAGAGAGAAAGAGAGATGGGAGTGTGTGGTAGTGCTGAATGTTAGAGCCACAGTGTGATTTAGAGTTAACAAAAAAGCCCATATCCCCTGCTTCAGAAATGTTTAGTATCATACATGACCGACAGTGCAGAGGAACACATTAGTCATTTTAAAGTTCACAAGAATACTGTGTGGTTAAAAAAGAAAGAAAGAGAACCCAGATTCATGACCGTCAGTGTTTCTAAAGTTAGAGCATCACCTCAGTCAGCTGTTCCATGGAGTTGGCGTAGGTGGGCCGGGTGTACACAAAGACAGGACGTGCCAACCCGTCGCCTGATGATGCCAAACGCATCCCCTCCTTCACTCGGTTCCGGACGAACTGCCGTCCGGATGCCGAGGAGCGCAGCACAGTGCCCATGTAGATGGAGGGAAAGAGGGCCGTGCTCTCAGTCCACAACCATTTCAGCTGCTCGTTGCGAGCCACCTCCACATCAGGACAGCGCCCTGTGTAGTTCTCCAGAGTGCGCCTGTAGTCGTGGTTGTAGCAGTCAGGGAACAGGTAGAACCCCCACAACTGGTTGGGCCTCAGGTTCTTGGCTTGCTTGAGAGTCCCCAGCATGAACTTTCTAGCAGACATCTCAAACTCCTGCTGGGCTACTTTTCCCACCTGCTCTGGAGACCATGTTGGGTTCTTCTGGCGCACCAACTCACGAGAATGTCGGCGGTAAACATCTTTGTTTTCCCAGTTACGTATCCAGAGTGGGCGCCACTCCTCCCAGTCAATAACTGCCAGGCCCTTGGCCCCTGATTCACGTATATACTTCCGCACACTCTCCGGCATCTTTGCCAGGTGCTGTGAGATGCTGGCCACCTGTGGCAGTCCCCCGTTCACTGGTGTTTCATCTTGCTCAAAGTAGGGGTACAAGCCCAGGCGGTCCTTATAGAAGATGGTGAGGTTCTGCTTGACAAAGGCCTCATTGGGTGAGGCCACGATCTGGAATTGGTCCAGCTGAAAATGAATGCCATGCCTTGGGGCACAGTCCTCAGTCGGGGCATTCCAAGCAAGGAGCAAAGGCTTTTGGGAATACAGCGGCCATCTTGTGGGTTTCAGTCCCAGAGCACAGAGGCAGTCCCACAGTAGAACAATCAGCAACAGCACCTTACAGTCACACAGAGTCCAGTACAACATGTCTTCAGATGTGGATCAACAGAAAGGACCGTCACTCTCAGCTCTACAAGTCACAGAGGAGATTGAAATTTTGTTTTTTTTAGTTTATTTTCATATTAACTGTCATTCCTCAGTACATTCGTTCATGAAGTCACCATTTCAAAAAGAAATAAAGAGTTTGTACAAATATGCTGACGTGTTCAGTGCAATTTTGTTGTAGTTTTGTGCACTAAATGGAAACAACCAAACCTGCACTCACAGGGGTTGCACAGATAAATAATCACAACAAATCCTAGATGGATTTCATATTTTATTTATAGAAAGCATCTTTTTATGTATGTGTGCAGAACACCTGAGGTTTTCTCTTATATGTCTTCAGATGTGATTTGACCAAGGACTGTCACTCTGCTCTACAGCAGAGATTGAAATGTAGTTGTTCTACTTAAGTAAAGGTAGAAATAAAAGCCCTGCATTCAAAACTTCACCTGAGTACAAAAGTACTAGCATCAACATATATTTAGAGTACTCAAAATAAAGTACTCACAACGCAGAGTGACCCTTTTCAGAAAGATATTTATCATATGACTGGAGGATAATTATTGATGCATTCATTGTACATCAGTTTACTATTGCAGCTGGTCAAGCAGTATAATGTACTGCTGCGTAGCTTAATCCATATATATACGTTTGGATAATTGTATTCATTAGTTGATTATATTTTGTGTTATTCATCTGAATAATTAGTAACTAATGCTGGCAAATAAATGTAGGAGTAAGAAGTACCATATTCAAAACTATAAATTAACATAGAAAGGAAATACTCAGGTAAAGTACAGGTACATAAAAATTGGATTGAAGTACAGTACTTGAATAAATGTACTTTATTACTATTTTCCAGTGGTTACCAGTAATAATCTAAATTCAAGGCTTAAATTACATTAACGTTTTGTTGTACTTTTGTTAACTATCTGTATATAATCAATGCTACATGAATCATGAATTTCCCCTAGGGGATAAATAAAGTATGTATCTATTTATCTATCTACAAACAGCCTGGATAAACAATGACAAAAAAAGCACTTAGTTTTCGTCTTTATTTACTAAAAGTTCCTTCCCATAGTTGTGAGTGTAGATTTCTAATGCTCTTCAAGCTGTATGGGCTTCAACGTATAACCATTTCTGTTACATAAATCGACTTCAATTGCATTTTAGTTTTGGACCGTTTTCTTTAGCAATGAATGAGCAAAACGACAAGTAAAAGCAAAGTTAATTCACACCAGCCTCCTCCCTGCAGCTGGACAAACTTACCTTTCCTGGCAGACTGAAGCATTCCCAAAAAGCAGAAGCCTGCTACTTTAAGCCGCGTTTTTGTGTCGCCTCAAAACAAATTGGAAAAACTCAAAGTGAACATTGTCTTTGGAGTGAGAAAATGACGATAGAGATTTTTTTTTTTTTAACAAGGGCATGCGTTGCTTGGCGATAGCCTATCTTTTAAACACGGCTCTCGGTCTTCCTTCCGTCAGTGAAGTGAAGATACTGAAGTTACCCCCTGCGATGTTGTCAGTCGCCACTCGCCTACTCCGAGTGCCAAACCACTTTCAGGATGTTCCATTTACACTGGGAACACGGGGGGGGGGGAATGGCGAAGCAAACGGGAAATCCGAACACCTCCGTCCGCGTGTCTAATGAGTTACAGAAACGTCTTTCCTCAGCTCAAATCTACACTTAACTGCAGATATCAGTTAAGTCAGTCTTGGCTTTGATTTTGTAATGTGTATTTGTGGGTTTTTTTTTTTTTTTTAAGATACTCCCTTTGTTCCGGCACAGCTCTGAATGAATCAGTCCAAGAAGTTTGCCACCACGCCGTGAAACAGATACACTGTACCGAGCAATGTCAAGATTCATAGGAGGTCACAGCGGGCCAGTATGCCACATCCCTAAAAATAAGATCATGCCCACAATTTGATTACTGTGTTCCGGTGACCTTCCTACATTACAATTATTTGTAGCCTATAAATAATATGGTATTTAGAAATAATGTGAGGACTTCATTTTACTCTGGAGACATGCAAGGATGCCTTTTGGTACTGCAAACTTGATTCAAATGCCAAGTGTTTCGCTATAACATATCCAAATACTGTAGATTTAAAAGAAAGAAAAAAAACAGCCTTAGTTTAAGATGAAGTTACATGATGTGATTTCATCAGATTTGACGGACAGGTGGAAAATAATCAATCTGTCATAGGATTCAGATTTGTATATTGTGAAATTATGATTAGAAGGTGGAAATAGCTTTCAAGCACAGCACTTCAAATCAGTAAGAAGAGACAGACAGAAACACACACTCTCTTTCTCTCATGAAATAACTTTGGCAGATGGTATGTTAATGCACAACCCCACTGCCAACAATAAGATTATTTAAAAAATACCTTTAAACCTGTTCCCAAAAACTCATAATTTGATCATTTAAATTCAAAAACAGTGTTTAGATTGAGGAATCAAACTAAACTGCTGAACCTTTACTTTTACTCCAAAACGTTTCTTTGGGAAATACTGTACTTTTACCTCACTTTTTACACCACTTACTACAACGTTAAAATGACACTTATACCCAGAGCTGCAACAATCTCAGATAAACCATTCTTCGTAATAATAATAATCATAATAATTATGTTTCTTGTATACTTGAGGACATGTTTCTGATCATTTGTTTTATTTTAGTCAAAAGATGAATGTAGGTTTTCTAGTTTCAATGAACTTCTTTGACACTGAAGTGTTGCCACTTAAGTGAAGGATTTTTATGTTTTTTTTCCACGAATGCTCTGAGCATACTTCAGACAGTGGGCACAAGGCATCTGGCATACAGATGTCACTGCTGCCTGAGGCATGTGGTGACAGCGACTGGCAATGGCTCAGAGTACCCCATACTGTCAAAGTACCCCATACTGTCATCACCAGTAAAATGGGTGTTTGAGCCCAGAAGTCCATGAGTGGGCTTTGAAGAATGGTGTTCATCTGAAAGTTAGACATTTCCCCTGCACATACACGTGAGCTTAAGGATGTCCGAGCACATGATCGGGGTGAAGTGGGGGCCTGGAAGTGAGATGTTTTCCTGTGTCAGAGTCCATTCCGCCATTTGTTTTCCAAGCTTTGCTGACTCACTTCACCATGTCATCAGTTTTTTTTCTTTTTCTCTCTCTCCCCCTCTGTCTCTGAAGTTTGTTTGAGGAAAATGTAGAGCATGTGAATGAAGAGGGAGGGAAAGGAACAAAGGAATGGTTTGGTTTCCCTCTGGTCTCATCTTCCTTTTGACCTCTGTGTCCTGAACATTACATCAGCAGAAGTCAGGGACCATCAGGAAGCGAAAACAATGGCAGGGAAACTGGAAACACAGTTTGCCGCTTTCAATGTGCGTAACAAACACTTACAGAATTGCGATACTTTAGGGTAATCATGTGAATTGGTAAATTGGGATGAGGGGAATTTCATTGGAACATTGACCTTAATGAGTCAAGTAAAATATGGGTGAGAAGTGCCTAAACACACCTTGAGGCCCTGAAAATGCACTCTTAAACTGACTTGTATACACATTTTACTGCTTCTGCTTGCACCTAAACTGACCTAAACTAAACTCATGTGGCTTTATGTATCGATAAGATACACAGGACATTACCATCATTTGTTCAGTTCAGTACTCTGTTGGTCACATGCAGTGTGTAGGATCACACTGCACCACAGTAATAAGTAAAATAATCCAACTAAACTCTGATACAATGGGCCACAGTAAGCACTGCTATTTCATTTTAAACCACTACAGTTTGTTAAATGAATCTTTTACTACTTATACTTCAAAGCATGTTTTAGTTCTTTTTCAAGGCTGTCGATAATTTTATAATGACTATCTCTCCCAACCACAGCCACATGGACAACGTTTCCCAGTATAAACACATTGTACACATAAGAGGACACACTGCATAGATCAGGACACTGTTATACACTGTCATATTGATGAAGATTGTATGGTTTTAAGAGAAAGGGTACATCCTTCTAATGCAGGCCGGACTTTTAGCAAAACATCAAAGACCAGTGGAGAGGAAATACATCAAAGTGTTTGACCTCTGGCCCAAAAACACACCCAGCCACATTCCACACAATTACAGACACCAGAGAATGTCAGCACAGGAAGCCCTACCCATTTATTGTAGAGATGTGTCATCTGTAATATGTTTACATTGCCATTAAAGTTTGATACTGTGCCAACTGGCAACACCAACCTCATAGGGTCATGATTTAAATCTTTTGAGTTTTTACCTCAGACATCACATTTAATTATATCTTCAGTCTTTTGGAAAGTCTAACTGTACAGGATTATCATTAAAAGTGAGAAAACTTTTTGGTACAACAAACATCACATCCCAACTCATTAAAGTTAGCACAGGTAAGGATTCCTGCTGCCATCTAGAGGGTGTATGCCCTACATGTTATTGAAGTGTAAATTAATTGTGTTTCAAAATAAAGTCTGCAGATTACCCTCATCTTGGCAAGAACAGGGAATTAAGGAAGGGAAAAAAAAAAAAAAAAATCTGGTTTCAGATGCACACCACAGCCTTACCTCTCAGCAAGGCAGAGTGAAATTCAATAAGGCAATGAGGAAAAGCTAAAAATAAGACAGAATGTGGAGATGTCAGGGTTATACTTAGAGCTGTCATGGAAGTACAAGAAAGGCTGGTGACATGTTTAAAAGTTACCACTTGACTGAATGAGCTAAAATTATTGCACCATGTGTACATTGAGCTTTTAATCTAAAACTGAAGTTCTTTCTGGATATCTGGCAGCTGGTACTTAAATAATTTGACATTTTGGGAACTACATTTATTCACCTTTTAGAATGAATGAGAAGATCAATACCACTCTTGTGTCTGTGTGTTCAATATTAAGCTAAGCCAGAATCTGGTTAGCTTAGCTTAGCATAAAGACGAAACAGAGGGCAACACCTAGCCTGGCTCTGTCCAAAGATAACACTATTAAAGCTCACTAATTAACTCGTTATATCTTGTTTGTTTAATCTGTCCAAAAACCAAAGACAGACATGAGAATGACAACGTTATCAACTTTCTTATGTAACTCTTGGCAAAACAAATGCGTAATTTCCGAAATGTTGAGCTATGCCTTTAAATGGTAGGCTTCTCATCAGTTTACAACCAAAGAAGGAAGTACAGGACCAAAAAGGCAAACCTTTGACAAAAAATTTCTTGACTCAAGACATTCAGCTCAGTAAACCATTTATTCAAGTATTTCCAACTAAGAAATCTGAAATTATTTACAGTACATTATGTTCACTAGTGCAGGTCTGAGCTCCGGTAACTGAGACACACTCAGACATGACAATACAGAACGTGACCATATATACAATAAATTTCACAATCCTTCATTTTCCTACCCTGTAATTACATCTTCCATCCCGCTTTCACACATTCACTCAAACAAACCTAAGTGCACACATGTACACATACAAAGATACATACAGAGTCTAACACTCTATGTCTCATGGAAGGCATAAACCGTTCCAGCCTTTTCACATCAAGGATGTTTTTCCCTGCAAAAAACTCACAAGAGAAATACAACTTAATTTGATGTATTCTCTAAAACTGCTTACATATCAGCTGGGTAGTGGAAACACAACCTGTACCATCACTACTTTTGTGAATATCAAAATATGGATTTTAGTAAAGAGGACACTCTGACCATAGCTGAATTCAAATGTATAACATTTCATTCAATATATCAATTGAATATGACAGTTTGAATTTTCCTCTTTCTCTCCAGACCACAGTTTCAGTCTCGATCCTGGTTGGAAAAAGACTTTGCTCTGAAATGAGTACCTGTGGCTGCACCTCATAGTAGATCAGCCCTGTGCAATGGTTCACACCTCACAGAGGACGATGGGGAAATCTACATGTATACAGGGGTGGTCGAGCTTTATGATTCCCTGAAAGATAAAACAAACAATATCCAAGATGAAATGAAATGACAATTCTGACAAAACACCCCTGTCCCACATCATCATTTTGATCCAAACTAACCTGTGGAATCAAATTTTTCTGGATCCTCTTCAACTTGGATTTTTTTCTACCATTTTTTGTCACCACCGTCTCCTCATAGAATTCATGGGCAAGGTCACCGTCCTCATCGTAGTATAAAGAACTGCCAACACAGCAAGTAAACATCAGTTTGGAACTACATGTCAGATGAGGAAACTTGCACCAATTCAGAAACAATTGAACCATAATGGGTCAGTTCACCCAAAACACAAACTTTCTCACTTACCTCCAGTGCTGTCTAAGCATGCAGTTAGTTTGAAGTTTTGAAATGCCCACCACTAGCTAATACACCTCACATCTGAGTGTTTTTAGCTGTTACTGATCACTTAATACTTACATATGTCTTGATATCTTCAATATTTAAGTCTAAGTACGTGTTTTCTCTGCCATGTACATTTTTTTAACTGTCCCACTTGGGGTGGATAACGTTGCCGAATTGATCGGTGTTTAAAAACCACAGATATTTTACACACTTAACTGCGGACTGGTTTTATTGAGACAATTTTTTCAAAACAAAAACATTTCCAAAGAAAACTGCTGATAGCAGCTGAGCAGTTACAAAGGATATTCTGTTTGGGGAAACCTGGTGACCTTGTGGTAAAGGCCCTGGTTCATGGCCACTAGGGAACCTTTGTTGCATGTCATTCCCCATACCTATCCTGCCTCATTTTGTGTCAGCTCTCTACTTTCAATTTTATAATAGAGGTATAAAATGCCTCTATTATAGAGCTGTTCACCTTAATTGTATTTGGGTGTCAGAAATCTCAGAGATGGACATCTCACAAAAACCAAAGTTATCAGCATGGATACAGACCATTAAGCATACATGGGAAAATGTATTGTGATTTGGGTGACCCAGCCCTTTACCATTTTCCAATGATGTGTTATTTACCTCCTCCTGGTAAAAACAAATGGTGTTGCATTTCTTGAACCTTTGAGACGGGCCAAAGACTGCTCGTTCCCATCGGTGGCTGAATCACCTCCAGCTCCACTGCCTGAGAAAGGCCAGACTCCTTTGGCTTTGGATCCACTTCCTCCCATTCTTAGAGGTAAGGCATAGTTAGTCTTCAGTTAAAGCTTTCAATCTGGTTGGTGGCCAGAAGCTCTCAATTCCTCACCAAAGCCACGATCTGAGGAGAGAAAGTGCGAAAAGAAAGGACACATTCCCCATCAGACTTGACTTTCACTGCATGATAGTGTTTAGTTGTGTGACTACATGTGTAACTCTCCAAACCACTGTAAAGCACCATTTGTTTAGTGACTATTTAGTAGTTAGAGCTAATATATTTTTGATGAATAACTACAAAATACACTGGGTTTAATGCAGTTAGCGCTACTGTCAATGTGATGAATACCAGCTTTACCCTGGAAAACTGATTTTAACTGGCCTCTCAAGCTGAATTTACATTAAAATACTATACACATACAGTATAAACTCACTAAATATTTCTGAAGCGTCATGTTTATGTTTTATAGACGGCTTCGTTATGCTAGCTTTACAGGAAGCTATCTAGCTAACCGTCTGGGCCAAACGTAAATCGAGCTAGAAAAGCAAGTCACCTGATTCATAACTTAAATAAAATTTCTATATCAACTTATACACACAGATATTGTTTTTATACCTGATTCATGCAGTCTGTATGTCATAAAAGCCACTGTTTGATATTCGGTCAATGCGGCTAATAATAACTCGCTGACGGTACCTGCACGTTTAGGTGAGTTAGCCTGTTAGCTTCTGCCACTGACGCACTAGCTAGACGAAGCAGAGCTGTGTCTCCAAAACACTCACGGAATTATTGTCCTAGACGACCAAAAGGGTACTGCTGAAAGGGACTTCTGATTAATATCCTACCGTGTCACACAGTCATGTCCTGTCATAACTTTTCGCCACCATCTAGGTTAAGCTAGCGTTAGCTGTTTTGGTCCTTGCTATGAGGTGATCAGCTGATCTAACAGACCGGCGGCAGCTGAACAGTTCTTCTTCGTCTGTAAAACAGCAGCTGACATCTAAGAAGCTGCATTACTGCCATCGATCGGCATCAGTCAGCACCTACATTATCCGGACTGTTAAATCTTTTCCATCAGTCCTATTTCCCGCAAGATCATCATCTCAGATTTATTAATGTAAATAATGGCCAGATAAAAATGCATTTAACTGTACGTCTAAAGTATGAATTGTTTTTATTGTTTAATGGGCATTAATATATGGAAGCCCATGCTGAATATGGAAAATATTTTACTTTTAGATCCATAAGAATAAGATATTTTAACAGTCATTTATATGTGATATCTGAAAAACATACACAAACCTGACAGAACTGGGAATTTTTTTACTGAACGCAGTGCACGTTTGACACACATTCGGAAGGTTGCTATAACATGTAAATTTGTACATAGATTGAAACAATGAAAGTAAGATGAAAAACAGAAGACGAATATTTTCTTTAAGGACAGAAAAGAACAGATATAAGGAATGACAAACCGCTTCCAGTGAAACACATGTATACCAATATTCATTCATGATTCCAGTCAACCAGAGTGAATTTGAAATTGCTCTCCCTGACATTCATAATTGCATACAAATGTCCATACATAGGTCATACTCACAAAACTATTCAAACCAAAAAAAAAAAAAGAAAAAAAAAGAAAGAGTTGTACCCACTGGGGGTGTAGAGAGGACATGGCAGACTTTTGAGACTGGGTCTAATGAAAATCCAAATACCTTTCCACAGCAAATATGTGTTTAACTTTCTTACAGGATAGAGATGTCAATATGAGGTTGAAAAGTATGTTTTTCATGGTAGGTTGTTCAGGACCAGATTGAATGTATCTAAAAAAGGCAGTAATGGCTTGTTTGACATGTTATCAGTCTTACATACAGAAAATCATCTAATTTTGAGATGATTTTTTGCTGAACTATAATAGTTCTTTCTAGTAATGTATAACTGACAATGGGATTGTTTTTTAATACCTTATAGTGGCAAAAGCACCACATTTTCTTTAAAGCTAAAGTGACATAGCTGCGGTACAGGATAATCAGAGGCTACCCAAATAGGGACACAACCGCTGTCTCATCTGCCAGTCTTCATGTCTCTCAACTCATTCTCACAGGCACATCAGACTCTCCAGGTGTAAGGCACTTCTCATCTCTCGCATCATTTCACACGCACATTCGCGCTAGCTCTCTCTCTCTCTCTCATTGTCTTGCGCCCTGTCTCACTCTCTCGTTCACCGAAGAGGCGTTTTGAGTTGTATTCTCTGGGATCTTTGGATGCAGCGATGACTGGTGATTGTCCAGCCAAGAGGTGCACGTTTAACCCCGAGCGAAGAGTTGTCTCAACCAGGGGTGGAGCCAGCCAGCGCCTCCTGCATCTTAGTGCGGGCCAGAGCGTATCGCTGCACTATCTGCTTGACGTGTTCCTCTTCTTCACGCTGCAGAATACGCAGGAAGTTCTTTAACTCAGGCATAGAGAAGGCATGCCACTGAAAATGAGGATAGTGGAAAAACTGCATTAGTACATGTAAAGTACATAAACTAATGTTTGTGGAATGCAATGTGTGGTTTGAATCCTTTATTCTCATGTTGTTGCACTCACATTGACCTCTCCAGTTTCGTTTTCTTTGATCACAAAACTGAGGACTTTCTCACTCGGCCCAGCACACAGACGCAGACGGAGGGGACGTTCGGCATCAGACAGCTTGCGAACATAAACTGAAGGAGAGACAAAAAGGCACAATTTATTTTACAGCAAACCAATTTAAATTTAAAAAGTGTATAAAATGACAGTTCAACGTAAATGTAATGAAAAAGAAGTAATACCCTGGTCATGACGCTCGCTACGCTCAAACAGAGCAAATTTGCCAGGATTGTCCACCACAGTAAACTTTTTCAGTAAAGCCTCAATGACCTCACGGGCAGAGGTGCGGGAGCTTATGTGCAGGTGCTTGGATGCATCCTTTGGCAGGTAGAAAGAGGTGCGACGCTTCACTCCGCTAGCCTTCCTCCCTCCAGCATCTTGACCCCCTTTCTTTGGATGTGGAACCGACACAGGTCGCACCAACTTAAACTGCACCTTTATGAAGCCAGTGTAGGAACCATCCTTGTTCTGTTTATTCAAAAGAAAATATAATAAATCATACTGAAGAAAAAAACACCTTCATAATAAAATGCATGGGCGTGGTGTAATTTATCCATACTAACCATGTTCATGAACAGATTGCTGTTGATCTGACCGTTGTATTCCTTGACCTTCTGCTGGATATCTGCAGTTGTCAACTCCTGCTTCCCACAGTCGATTTGTTCATCCTAAAGGGGACAGTGAGTGAGTTACAGTGTTAAACCACCAGGTGTCAGTGCTCACCTCCAAACCACAACAAGAACAAGCACAATATGGACACTTGATACAGGAACATGGGTTATAGCAGTGGTTTCTTAAAAATGTCACGTTTTGTAAAAATTAGAGACATTAAAGATACCTCACATTCATCCAATCACGAAAACATGACCAAAGTGTTTGTGACTCCCAAGTGGAAGTGCAGTTCACAAGGTCACAGTCTTTCACATGGGAAAATAATCCCATTACAGCATGCTGCAGTTGTTTTGAAAACAATTTATGTCTCAATATGTTTGAGAATAGGTGGTTTTACTGTGTGGACCCTGGGTCACATGGAAAAGAAAAACCTAAATTCAAGCGAAAATCTAAATCAAATTTAATTTCACTACTATGATAAGTTGTTATTCCTCAAGGATTCTCTCAAGTTGCTTAGGAGTACAAACACCCACACTTTATTAAAGCGGTGTTGATTGACTTTCTGTTAAGATCTGTTTCTAACACTGAGCACCAGTTGCATCAGACTCTCAACTTCCTGACAACGAAGCAGAGGCGAAAACGATGATGTCAGCTCTGCCCAATCCTGTTGGACTGCTCTGATCCCTCGGTGTAGGAGGAGTAAACGGAGGACGGAGAATGAGGAGGGGAGGGGGGGATGTGCAACTTGCAGCTGTTTGCAATGACTGCGGCCAACGGTTCTGCATTACATTCCTCGACTTGGTATTCATATATAAATAGCCTCCCCACTCAGGCTGTGGGAGAGACAATGCCCTCCCTTGTTTCACCGGCACATCCTGTGAAGTCAGCTGCCTCATCAACCGCACAGTCCCAGTCATGTTTCAGTCATGTTTCAGTCATGCACATTTGGCCATCTAGCATCTGCATGACTGTTAGCTCAATTAGGCCTTTTCCTGTGTGTACAGACCAATTGGCATTTCCTGAATAGACAGAAAATTGAACTCTGCAGCAGTACAAATTTATTTTCCATACTGTACTCCAGCTAATTTCTCATGGTAGGAGCAGGGGGTTTCCTAGGGAGTAAAAGCCAAACATCAATATCCACATAGTAATCTGGATGCTGCTATTATTGGCACTGACACTTAAGCACATTTCTCAGTCATTTTGAGCCAACACTTTTGGATAAATATAGGGAGAAAAATATGACAACTACATTTTCCCCCCAGATTCTATCTCATTTCAAAATGGGATGGACTGTTCAGCCAGACTGTTTAAATGCAAAGTTGCAAGCACTCAAATGGCTGAGTATCTTATATTGATGTCAAGCAGAAAAAGATCAATAGCATCAATCCTTAGGCAAATTGAAAGACTGTAGAGTTAATGTGCTACTGTTAACAATCAATAAATCAATACGAGGGCCAAGTTGAGGTTTCCAATATGGCAACAGTAGAACAAAAACATGTACAGCAACTGTGTCTCTGCATGCCCACTAAAGGAGTGTCATATAAACATTGTGTAAGATATGCCAACACTAAGTAAAAAAAATGGCCAGAAAGAGCCAGAAAATGGTGAATATCAGTGCGTTTTGCTGTAAACTGTATTTGTTTCTCAATAAAGACTGTTGTCATGGGTGTGGGTGACAAAGGGACAGAAAATGAACAAATCCAAAACATTGCATGACTCATCTGTGATTGAGAAATTAGTGTGAAAACCTGAGAGACAAGTGAGGGAATGAATAGGGGGTGTTTGGCTGGAAACATGAGAGGAGTGTGTGCGTCACAAAGCATGACATTTGGGTTAGTTGTTCTGAGTTCATCTGTGGGTCTGTGCTTGTTACAATAATAATAAAAAAAGATACTATGATGTGTGTGTGTGTGTGTGTGTGTGTGTTTTAAGCCAAAACCAGTGTCTGCTCTGCTTTTTCCCCAGTGCTGATATGCATTTTATAAAGTTCACACAACTCAAGCCTCAAGCCTGTTTGCTCAAAACTGGACGGACCAGAACTCCACCCCTCAATTGGCAGGCACCCTCTGTGCTGGGGTGCCCTTGGGCAAAACACACATATCCCAGCAGCATCAGCTCAAGACCAGGGGCGCTGCTGACCCATGACCCCCAAAAAAGTATGGACAAAATACCAAAAACTGACAGTAATAAAAGCAGAACTATAGAGTATTGCTACATGAATCACCCATTTCTGTCTGGTCTCACTTCCCCTTTACATTAAGTTCGCACTTCTATCAAAGCCTGGTGGGTTTTATTTTACATTATCATTGTTATTTCTTCTTCTCACCTGCTTAACATTTAGGTTAGGTTTCCGGGTTTTGGGGAAGAAAGATGTCCGGGCGGTGAAGTACTGCTCAAACTCGGAGTCCTCGTCCTCCTCGCTGCAGTAGCCGCTGCTGGTGGAGCTGCCCCAGGTCATCTCGAAGGAGGGAGTTTTGTCCGAGCTGCTAGCCGCGTCTGTCATGCTGACTACCGTTTAAACAGTTTACACGAGACTCGACGATGGGATGGGTAAGCTACGACGACTAACAGTGTTAAAATAAATCACTTTAGCTAAGTATGGTTTAAGAAATTACCGACACAAAACCGACTGAACAGAAGACTGGCTGAAATGTTCTAAATGACGACAAATAACGTCAATATTGGCTAACTTCAACAACAACCACACGGGCAGACGATGATATATCTCTGAT